TTATTCAATCTAAGATTAGTGCTAATGACCTCTCAATTTAAGATGTGCTCCTTGTTCTCATTCGAGTCTTTATTTGCTGTATGGTTCACACTGATCTTTGTCATCTTTACGACGATTCTCTGATAAGAGTGAAAGATGGTGTGCTTTGTTTTATGTTCGACTAACGCTAGACGAATTGCTAGTAAAAAGTGGACGAATGTCTAGAATTGATAAGTGTTTAAGATGCTAAATGTGATTAAATAGAAAGATCCAAAGTTTCTGATAAAATTGAGAAGAAGAAAAGAGTAATGAAAAAATGTTTCAGAAAAGATGAAAAGAAGCCTAAAAGTGAAGATGAGGAAGAGGCGGGAAAGAAGGTTCCTATCACACAGCTGGTAGGTTGTTTAGCACCACATCATACCACTCACCCTGATAATCGCTTTTTCGCTAATGTCGCCGTTTCTTTCGTGCTTCAAAAATAAATTTCGTACTTAACCAGCAACGGAAATTGATACGTATTTGAAACGCGGACGAAACGAGCGAAACCACAAAAACGACTAAGGGATTGCGATGGGACCCTTAGTTGATATCTAGTACTTTGGCAGAATAACCTAACTTAACTCAATCACTAAACTTTCAGTTTCGCTATGCCACGTGCAAAGAACTTATACTGCTTTTTATTGGAATTGGTGTTTCGTTAGTGACTGGCGCAGGCTTACCGCTGATGTCTCTACTCCAAGGAAGTATAACTCAAGCATTTGTTAATGAGCAAATGTATAAGACAAACACAACACCAGGTGATTAAAGTTTACCTATCTACTATAAATGCTCAAGGGAATTTTCCTAAATCGCTTACGTATTGGTAGAATTTAAAAAATACGAATTACAATTAAGAAAATTTTTTAAAAATTTGCCTTTATAGGACCGTTTTTTCATTACAATGACACGGACTTTACCCATGATGTTATGAAAGCGGTATATGGCTACACAGCTATGGCTATCGGAATCTTTTTAGCCGCTAATGTGCAGGTAACGAATTTTGAAAATTTATATACTGCTCTTTTCATCATTATCTCTATATTGGCAGTTGAATTTCGATGGCTGCAAAAACACTCTTTTCCCCTGATATCAGTTATCTGTCTCATCTCCTGTCAAATTAGACCAATCCTACCCCTGCTTAGTATACATTGGATCGAATCGAATAAATATTCGACCATTCGAATAAAATTCGATTTTGAACCATTCGAAAGTTCGAATGTCCGGATTTTCCGATTTTCGAATAGTTCGAAAATTCGAATGTTCGAGATATTCGTTATTTGATTTATTTGAAAGTTCGAACATTCGAAAAAATCCACTTTCGAATCATTCGTTTGTTCGAATATTCGGCGGACCTTCGAGTATTGGAATACTCGAACAACAGTCGCAAAAGAATGTGAAATGGTGACGCGAATTCAATTCGTTCTATCTGCAGTATACATTGGATCAAATCGAATGAATATTCGACCGTTCGATTAAAACATTCGAATTTGAATCGTTCGAAAATTCGAATAGAAATTCCTTCTCGAATAATTCGTCAATTCGAATATTCGAAAACT